AAATTTAATATTTATCCATACATTCAACCGCAACGCATAAATACATTAAAAATAAAACCACACTGAAATTGTTGCTGCTTTAAAAACAGAGTTGGGTTAATCTCCCCTTTTAGGTTTACATTTATAATTTTCAATATTAAAGATGAGGTTTAGTTACGCTACGTGACGCCATTTTACTGAACCAGTAAGCTCTGTGGGTTAATTTTACTGAACCAGTAAGCTCTGTGGGTTATGCATTTCAGCATGTACAGTTTTTTAAATTACATGTTGTACTCGAATGCAAGAGGCTGGGTGAGCTGCAGGGCCTTCTGGGTAATCTTGGGGCAGAAAGGGGTGAGCTTTTTCAGGTTCTGTGGTCAGATGGGTCGCCCCTGCTGGTTCTGTTTAGTGTTGGGTTTGGCACTCATGTTCAAGCTGTTAACTGTTTAAGAATGTCACCATAAGTCAGACGTTTGACTGACAGTGATGATGTAATCATTCTGCGACTCTGTAGCTTCATTGCTGTTAGCATCGTGTAGGATGTTACTCCACATCTTTGCTGAAAGTTTAGCTCTTAGAGTCACCGTTTGCTACTGCGGCCGACATTAGGCTGACCGTGGTCCGTGCAGGACAACCAGTCTGGCTGGGAAGTTTCAGGTTTGACCTTTTTTCCGTCACTTCGGTTCTTTCAAACAAGTGGGCTAAAGCAGAATCACGGGTTTAAATCGCGCAAGCATCTCAAAGAAGCTTTAAGCTGCTGCCGAATGTGGAAGACACGACAGATCGAGTGCGACAGAGGTCAAGAATACGTATCGAGGACCAAGCAGGACAGTGGATCGCCATAAAGACACAGCTTGGCATTCAAAAACAGCCGAGGCTTCTACAGAACTTCGGCTAGTCCAGTAACTCGCCTAAAGCTCAGAACATCAGAACTGTTCTGCTTTCATATTTAACTCAACAAATCACAGCTTGAATACAAAACGCCGGACTTCTCCATCCCAAACAGCTCTTTCATGAAAGTCGTCACTGTTGACCTATTTTCAGTCACTTCGGCTGTTTTCAGAGGTAAACAAACATCGCAGTGGTTGGCTGCCCGTCACCAACTTTTATTTTCAGGACACATTACCCGTCAATATGAGAAATATCTTGTGCCTTGAATGCCGATGGTTGCTCAACTTGAGTTGCTAAACGTTCAGTTAAACGTTACTCCACTCGTGGAGAAGAGGCTCTAGTCATGAACACTTCACATATTAAATAAATCAAGCTTTATTTTGATAATTGTTTCGTAAAGTATATGTTCCAAATCCTCAAAATGTCTTTTTTTTGTTGTATCTTGAACCTTTTAATCTGGTCTTACCCTCCTGTTTTTATCTCAGAACCTCCCCACCCCCCTTTTTTTTTTAAACAAAAATACACGATTATGTACTTTTTAATAACTCTCTAAATCTCTACTAAACATCATCATATAAAAATGATGATTTTGCTGGTAACATTAATAGTAAAACTTTGGTTTCACATGGTATTAAATGTGGATTACAGAGAACGAACATGTATAGAGGTAGGCATGTCACGATAACAAATGTTGCTGGGCGATTAATTGTCTCAAAAATAATTGCGATAAACGATAATATTGTTTGAAATTTGACAATAATTAGTAATTGTCAAATTTAAGAAGAAATGTTGGTTCATTTTTGTGTATAGTGCCTTTTTTTGACCACCGGATGGCAGTATAAGACAGTTTGAACCGAAGATTAATTGAAGAAAAATGGGAAGGAGGCCCGTTGACGTGACATGGGCTGTCTCTCTTTCTTTTTTCGTTCCTCAAAATGTTGGACGCTCTGTGTGATTTGAGCTCTTTAGCATAGCATTTTTCACACAAAGCTTTTAATAAAAATAAAAAAAAAATCAGTAAACAAGTTCTCAGCTTCTTTTTGCAGAGAAAAACAAGTTTTTAGACGAAGACACGGGTTTCAACCGTGAATTTTGGAGCTTGGACAAGACGGAGTTTTTTTTCCAAGATCGTCCTGTTAGCTTAGCTTCTCAGCTTAGCTGCTTTTAACGATCCAAAAATGCTATTTTGTCCGGTTAAAACAGATTTAAAGAGCAAGAGAGGGGTCAGTGAAGAGCACCGGAGTTGAGCATCCAGTGTCTTCAGTAGAAAGAGAAAGATCCAAAGAAACAGTAAAGTCGATAAATGAAAATGAGGTTGATAATTTTCGTTTATCATGCGATTAATTGATTTATCGTTTATCGTGACAGGCCTATATAGAGGTGACATTCAGTCCAACATTCGTCAGTTTATATATTGAACTTATACATTATGTTTGTGCACTTTAGAATTAAGAACTTACCTCAGTGACACACTCAAATATTGTTACTGTTTTAGTCATCTTGCACATTTATTCCGTCGGTGCTCACCATGAAGGCGTAAACTCCACGTGAGCGTCAAAAAACCCAGTAACTTCAGCGGTGGCCACCTTCCAGCCCTCGATTCTGGCCCGGATCAGTCCCTCTCTTTTCTGGTTCCGTACGATCTTCACCAGGCCGGGGTACCGCTTGTTAACGTACTCCTCCAGTGGTCTTTTCAGCAGCTCTGTGGAACACCAAATTTTAAACCGAAGGTTCAGACGGGTAAACAGACAGTAAAGCTCATCTGAAGAGGAGTTTTTGAACATGGCTTTGACCTCTGACCTCTTAAAAACAGGGAACGTACAGTTGTTGTCTTTTTAAAGTAACAGTTTGTTTGTCCACATGTGGAAACCTTAATGGGTGGGACATGCATCGTTTCAAGGAATGCCACTCTTATTCACAAGTGCACCGCATGCAGCACATTATAAATCTGTTGACACCCTATTATTCAACAATCTATAGCAATGGCCAAGCAAGTACGTTGCATATCCTTTGACCTTGACTTGTGACCTTGATTTTGGAGCTGGGGTTAAAGGATTATGCAAGACGTTGTCCAGTGGTGGTACGAATGTGTATCAAGTTTCCTTACGCTCTCTTGAATAGATCAGAAATAATGGTTTGGACGAGCAAAGACCTTGGTTGATCTTTGACCTTGATTTATTACCTTGACCTTGGATAAAGGAGTATGCAACACTCTGTCTAGTGATGAGCTATGAAGTTTCATTAAATTATCTTGAGTGGATCAGAAGTTACGGGCGGAACAAAAGAAAGTTTACCGATGGACAGACTGTATGGTAATCGATCCGGTCTCGACGAGTGAATAATAAAAAGCAGCGTGTGAGGCAGCGAGTGGTAATCAGGCTCGCTTATGCGTCCTGTAATTTACCGACAGGACGCAGGTGTAACTACAGAGCTAGTTGTTTAACAGTCACGAGCATCAAACTACAATTTACATCAGTCATACATTAAAATAAGATTAATTTTATAATTTAATATTAAAGTTTGGCCAAAAGCCAACCTATCAGACTGCAGCGTGTGCATCTCCAGATTTATTACACAATGTGTAAACACAACAACTAGGATCACAGCAGACTAGTTTATTCCATGAAGCAATCAGCTGAATTTCTTTAGCTGGGATTATCTAAAGCAGCCGAAGACTCCTCAGCTGCGACCGCAGCAGCTCAGATGTGTTGTCACGTCGGACCTCGTCAGATTTCTAAACAAAAGGCTCTTAAAGACAGAAAATCAGCATCACACACGTTCTGTTACCAACAGATTAATGGAAAGCAGCACATGGGGAGAAAGGATTTAAACATTAAGCCGCTCCCTGCAGAGGAAGCCGACGCCCTCACACAGACGAGCCGAGGACGTTCAGGCAGACGCTCCTGTAGCTGCGACGTAAAGTTTCATCTTTCATTAGGTGAGCAGACAAATCTGTTCAAATGCAGCGTGAAAGCTGAGTGGCAGAATATCCTGAGGTAGCTGACACTGAGTCGTTAAAGCGGAAACATGTAGAATAGAGGCTAAAATGAGCACAACATGAGCTAAAAGCTAAAAGCTACAGAACCTAAAAGCAGCGCATTGTTAGCTGTAGCAGTAACAAAACACACGCTAAAGCTAAAATGAGCAGAAACAGATGTTAATAAGGCTATCCCTAAAAGTAGCCAGAGAAATGGTAAAATGGTAGCTGAAAGCTAAAAGTAGCTAAATAGAGGTTAAAATTATCAAAACACACTAAATGTAAAATTAGCAGAAGCAGATGTTAACATGGCTATCCCTAAAAGTAGGCAAACAAATGGTAAAATGGTAGCTGAAAGCTAAAAGTATCAAAATAGTAGCTACAATTATCAAACCACAAGCTAAAGCTAAAATTAGCAGAAATAGATAATAAGACTATTGCTAAATATAGAAACACAAGTTGCACAATGGTAGCTGAAATCAGCTAAACATAATGTTAAACTTGGCAAAACAGTAGCAACACTTTCTAAAATTACGATTAGAGCCAAACAGATGTTATCGTAGCTGTAGCTGAAAGTAGCAAAACAGACGGTAGAATGGTAGCTGAAATATCAAAGTAGCAAAATGATAACTAAGAGCAGCAAAACAAATGGTAAAGTTAAAATAAGAAAACTGTAGTTAAAAGTAAGAAAACACACAGTACAACAGTAGCTAAATAGTTAGGTATTGACTATTTTTGTACTTTTAGCAAAAACTGTAACTAAATAGTAGCTAAAAGCTAAAAGTTTGCCAAATAGTAGCTAAAATGATCGAACCACACTAAAGCTAAAATTAGTAGAAACAGATGTTAACATGACTATCCCTAAAAGTACCAAGCCGGATGGTAAAATGGTAGCTGAAAGCTAAAAGTATCAAAAGCTAAAATTATCAAACCACGTGCTAAAGCTAAAATTAGCAGAAATAGATAATAAGACTATTGCTAAATATAGAAACACAAATGATACAATGGTAGCTGAAAGTTAAAAGCAGCAAAACAGTAGCTAAAATTATCAAACCACACTAAAAGTAAAATAAGCAGAAACAGACGTTAACATTGACTATCCCTAAAAGTAGCCAAACATATGTTAGAATGCTAGCTGAAATATCCAAGTAGCAAAATGAAAACAAAGCAGCAAAAAAAATGGTAAAGCTAAAATAACAAAACTGTAGCTAAAAGTAAGAAAACAGACAATACAACAGTAGGTAAAAGCTAAAAGTTAGAAAAACGGTAGCTAAAATTAACATTATAATATTAACATAATATTAACAAAAGTGTAGCGAAAAGTATCAAAATATATTGGTACAGTAGTAGCTAAAAGCTAAAAGTAGCATATGAAGACAGAAATCTGAATCAGATGTCAAAGGAGGAACTAAAGTAATCTCAATGTATTATCTAATTTTTTATTTATTTAAATAAAATAAAATATTTAGAAAAATATAAAAGTTACACGTCACAGCAATCTGTTTTGATATGTGAATAATTAAAAAGTCACAAAGTAAACAGAAGCCATTTGTAAATGAACGTGGCCTACAGAAACCATTAGCAGCAGGAAGACGCTGAGTCAGCAGAATGTTAACGTCTGTAAGTTCTCATGATGCTAACATCCCCGCTGACAGGAAGTGAACACTCTCGTGATGCTAACATCCCCGCTGACAGGAAGTAAACACTCTCGTGATGCTAACATCCCTGCTGACAGGAAGTA